TAGGCCTCATTTTCATCAAGTGTAAAATGAGGGGATTCAATTGGATGCCTGCAGCATTTCTTTTCACATATGAATTGTAAATATAAGGGAGTTTGCTCAGGTAAAACAAATAAGGAATTTGAAGAAAGAAAAATCACTTTCTTTGGACTTATAAGGAAATGTGGAAAGGATTTGTTCCTATATAAAACATGAGGTGGGAAGTTCTTTACCAGGAAGAAGTTAGGTAGTGTTTGCAATTCCACTGGCTTTTATAATAGAGTTTTTACAGAGTGCCTCATTTTATTTTGAAGTGTTATCAAAATCTGTACTACTAGATTCATTTATATACATTATAAATTCTAGAAAACCAAATGTAAATCATGCATCATTTATTGGTTGCTTTGGCTATTCCATTTCTTTCCTTTGTCAATAAAGATAATAAAGTGGTGTTTTCTGTCTTAGAATTCATTGATCTTTTTGAACAGTTGTTAGGAAGAATTTGAGGACTTGTTATGGGTGTTAAAAGAGCATTCACAAGATAAGAAAATCTAGTTCCTCATCCTCCTGACTTTGTTTCTTTATCTGTAAAATGGAAAAAAAATAATCTTTATGCTTTCTACTTCACAAGATTATTTACAAGATTCTAAGGAACTTACTTTAGAAACAAGAAAGCATTATGCAAATGTAAGCTTCTCTTTCTGCCTTCCATAAGACCCTCAGGCTATTACCCTTTAGTGATTTCTCTTCCCCTAGGAAGCTGCATTTAACATTTATGATAATCTGATTTCACCCGTATGAAATTGTGTTTTTTGTGTGAAAGAAATCACAGCGTTTCCCCCCCTTCGGTACAAAAGCACTTTGTGTGTCATTATATCATGAACCTCACAACAACCTTGTGAGGGAGGTGCTATAAGTATCATCCTCATTGACAGAGGAAAGAGTTCAACTCAGGTCTTCCTGACAAGTCCATATATAGATGTAGATAGAATAAGATAGAATATATCCATAGATAAAATATAGATAGAATATTTACATATATATACTCTCCATATATACATATGCATATATAGATAGAAAGCATATACAGATGGAATATGTGCATGTTCTATGTATGCATATGTGTATATGGAGAGTATATATAAATGTATTTTATACATATACACACACATATACATTTTAGATACACATACAGGAGAGAGAGAGAGAATGAGAGAGAGAAAGAGAGAGAGAGAGAGAGAGAGAGAGAGAGAGAGAGAGAGAGAGAGAGAGAGAGAGAGAGAGAGAGAGAGAGAGAGAGAGAGAGAGAATAAATGAGATGTCTAAACTCTTGTCTACTCCAAAGGAATAATATCTGTTTAGGGATGTCCCTCCTAACTCTATCTCTAAATTTACTTTATATTGAATAGCCATGATAAACAAAATTAAACAAATGTTTTCACTAAGGAAACTACAAATCAATAGATGCCAGAGTTCTCAAATAACACTTGTATTTTACTTGAATCAGTGACATTATTTTAATTAAAAAAACAAAAAACAAAACATGGGATTGGCCATGTTACACCCCCAACCACGGTCTAAAAACAGCAATAAATATAACTAAGTTTATGAAAAATGAAACAGTTCATTCACCAAACAATTTACAAAGATGTAAGAACTATTATCCAGTGAAAAAAAATCTCATTACCATTGCCTAGCAGAATATGTATAGCTAGAAGTAACAATATAGGTCAAAAGAGCCCTTGTCTCCTAGAAAACTGCTCTTATTTTTTTTTTACAGGTTTCTCATTTTAATATTTAGATGAAAATTTCTGGGGAAAATAGAAACTCAGATCTCAAAATCTGATCTATTTGTTTAGATTGGTAAACACTTTTCTGTAAAATCACTCCATTTCCATATGTAAGTCCCCCAAACTATGCTTGATTCTGAAGAAAAAAAATGATCTTGACTTCCTCCTTGGCAGAACAAAACAGGGCAATGCATTGAATCTTGAACTTCTGGATAAAGGTCACTTAATGCCCTGTGGGAGGTATTTCAGTCACATCAAAGCTTTTTGAAGAGAAAAAAGTCAAGAATTTTGTGAAGCAGTTGCACTAAGGCAATCTTTTTCCCTTTTCCATTTTCTCACATGTCCAAATATTGCAAGATACTATCAGTGTGGCAAATTTCTTGCAGCGAAAATAACTTTGAATTGCCTATAAGTTGCCGGGTGAATGGATCCACTGATGCTTTACTTCAGAGGAAAGTGAATCAGTTTGAAAGTAGTTGAAAGTAAACTTTTTTTTCCCTTGTGAAGAACTCACTACCTGTTTGCAAAGGGCAGTATTTTATGATAGAATTTGGGTTGAATTTCAATGATTTATGTATGTCTTAGAAACAAGTAACTTATAATCATTTGAATTTAGGATTTCCCTATGTAATACTATTGATGAGATAAAATGTGGTGAATAAGTAATGAACCATAATGGTTTACCAACAACGTATAATATGTATGATTTCTCTGAAACAAAGATGTATCATTGAAAAATTGCTAAACCTATCACATATAGAACATTCAAAAGAGATGCTATTTACTATTCTTGAAGAATATTGAAAGATAATGAAGTACAATGAAAATGTAGTTTTACTTTCAATGTATCTTTCCCCTTCCTAATAAATATGCCTCATTTACAACTTTTACTTGTATATTATTTCCTAAAAGCATTTTTATCACAAATTAAGTACTAGCATACGTGCAGCTTAAAAAATAGTCTGCAACTAAAGTGTAATTTGTCTCTAATAGGATGTTTTTGTGAATAAGATGCTATCTCTCTGTAGGCTTTTAAATAAACTATAATTATAAACCATTTAAGAGTTGGTAGAATAATTTGTGTACTTTGTGCACATTAAAAAACATACTATTATTTGGAGCAAACAGACTTAGACATGGAGATGGGACACAAAGTGAGTGAGGATTGCATAATACCATAGACTATTTTAAATAATAATCAAAAAAAGACTGAATAATAAGATGATTTTCTAAAAGAAGATTCCAGTGATGCTCCTGAAACACAAGGAAATGTGGTGGGTTTTGTGTGTTTGTGTGTGTGTGTGTGTGTGTGTGTAATCAAGAAAGAAAAACTTTAACAATGTCTATTTTTCTCAGTCAGAGCTAGGGAAGTTCTCCTCACAGGAGTATCTCAAACAACATACAAATTCAGCAAATGTTCATTGACCAAGAGAAAGAATGTGAAGATATCTGGTGAGCCTGTGGGAGGTCACATCCTCCCTCAGTCTTTAACCTTCAATATAACCTTAAGTCAGGAGAAACTTACAGCAATGCTAGAATATTAGTTACCAAACCATCTGGGGCATAACTTTTGACTGACTAATAGTTCTAATGGTTTTGGAATAATTGATTATTCTTACTATATTACCAGGTATGATGGTCCTGGTTAGTTGGCTCGAATATATATTATATATATTTGAACTATAATTAAACAATTATATACATATAAGCATAAATGAAGAAATAGCCTTAGTGCCATAAACAAAGGATTTTGTTGCCCTAGAAACCATGGACCTAACTGATGGCAATATAGCTTAAAAGAAGATGTGTTCCTTAGAGCAAATATTTTTCTCCTTGAAGATTGTTAGCTTTTGATGACATGATTATTTTGGAGCTAAGTCAGTTAGGTGGTGCAGTGCATAGAGCACTGGGCTGAGACTCAGGTAGGCTCATCTTCGTGAATTCAAGTCTGACTGCAGACACTAGCTATGTGACTCTGGGAAAATCACCTAACCCTATTTGCCTCAGTTTCCTCATCCAGTATCTTTATCAAGAAAACCCAAAATGGGGTCACAAACAGTTGGAGATGACTGAACAACAACAAAAAAGTTAAATCCAGGTTCCTAGATATAAGAAGGAGGCACTGGAGTTTATTGAATAAGGAAGTGACATTTTCTAGATCTATGCTTTAGGGTTATTACTTTTTATAGCTATGGAAGGCTGGATTGTAGCTGAGAGAGACTAAAAGCAAGGAAACTAATTAAGAGGCTAGTGTAACAGGCCAGGTAATGAAGGCTTGAAGTAATATGGTGGCCAGGTAGATAGAGAGAAAGGGGTGGATTTTTGAAATGTTCCGGACAACTAATTAGGAAGTTCCCAATTGTTCCCAAAATTGGGAACAATTTTGAGAAGTAAGAATAAGTATACACACGTAAAATAAACAAGGATAACTATAATTTCAAAACATGTAATCACAAAATGAATTTGTGTTGAAATCAATGAAGTAACTGTAGGTAATAATACAGCTGTTATTCAGTTTTCACCAATCACAATCATTGTTTTGAAACATAATTTAGGGGATACCATCATTTAGCACTGAAACTAAACTCAATATGATGGTTTACAAATGATAGCAAAGAGAAAATTGATGTTAAAATAACCTAAATGATGTTCATAGTTAGAGATCATAAAACTAAAGAATTTTGGATGTTCTTTAGAATTCTATGGTATCTTTTTTCATTTTTCAATAGTAATGCTAACATAAGGCATTTTCAATAAAAGCCATGATCAAAATCTACTTTCATTTGACAAATATAATTGATTATATACATTTTTTAAAAATAGTGGATTTATGGAAATGTACCATCTTCACCTCATATGATAAATTATTTTCAGAATACCACTACTTATGAGATGTAACTGCACTCCAGAAATATTATTGTATTTTTTGTTGGCTATTTTTTAGCCATTCTCTCCTATTCCTTCTTCAATGGCTATTCCTAGAAATTAACAAAACATCATCCCAGATTGAAATTTTATTTTTTTCAAAACATTTCTCAAGAAAGATTTGTCATCAAAGAAATATATATATATATGTATATATATATATATATATATATATAATATTTGTGTGTATACATAATATACACACACACAACCCTAGAAGTTCAACCAAAGAAACAAATTATTACCAATGTTTTGAAATGTCAGACATTTTTAGAATATTTATTTTAGTCTCTTACATCTATTACTTACCTGCTTGTGAGCATGGTCATATGAATTAATATGATTGTCAAACTCTTGATGTTTGTAATATTGTTTGTCACAGAGTTCACAGTAGAAATTGGCCTTTAGGTCTTCCAGAGCCTTTGCTATTGTGTTCTCCTTCTCAGCATAATCCTGGAGAAAAAGATCCCACAAAGGAGAAAATGCTTTAGATCTCCTTCTGATTTGAGTTGGATTGAAATGAATATTGAGTACAATATTTTAATCACTTATAATAGGAAAAAATAAATAAAAGTAAAGCACCTATATGAAGCCATACTTAAATAGAAATGTTCTTTCTTCTTTCCACTTTTCATAATAAGTGCTAATATATGCTGATTACCTGCCTGACTAAAGAAGGCTTAAGGTCAACATGAAAATAATGGAGGAGTAGAAAAATGAAAACAATATTGGAAGAAGTAAGGGAATAGAAATACTGAATTGAAACAACTGTCCTTTAAAGAAGCAGAGAGGGAATTGTGAGGACTGCTGAGTCCATTCAGCTGTTCATATTTCTGTCTTCAATAGTCAGAAGTTTCCACTTTCTAATCCTAACAACTTAAATGTACCTCAGAGATCTTTGAATAGATCTGTACTGATATGATAAAGAATATTCTTGGAGCCTAGGTATTTTAAATCCTGAATCATTCAAGAAATATCTCAACTGTGTGCCATTTGTGCAAAGGTATTCATTTAGACACAAACCTATTTATGACGCTCTTTAAAAAGCAATTGTTCTAGACTTTGCTGAAAAATGAGAATAGAATATATTTTGCCACATCTCTAAACTAAAAAACAAAACACCAAAATGAGACACGACTAAGGCTGTGTCAGAATCTTGCCATACCAACTACTTGAAACAATGAAAAATGTGTTTGCTCACATGTGGTTTTGCTCTATCTGATGCTAAATGACAGATAACAGAATTCTTTACTGATACAGGAAAAAAAAACTAAACTCTTGTTCTTTTAACTTTGTGAAGAGACAGTTTGAAATAATAAAGAAAACAGGAAATTACATAGATTGAAAAGTAATTGGGGCAATTCCTTCACTTTAGGGTAAACTTTAAGTACCCTATATTCAATTCATCTGGGAAGAATGTATAGTTTCTTTCAGATATTCTTGTTTAATAAATTTCTTCTGCTTTACTTTCTCCAGCAATGTTGTAGTAGCTGTACCTACAACTCAGACGTATCATTTCTCCTTCTTTATGTATTTCACATCTTCCTTCAAGACAAAATTTTAATGCTCTCCCTCTCTGTGCCCCACCCCCACATCTAATTGCATAGTCACTGATGAGAGATGGTATTCTGAAAACTGCAATAATTTTTAAAAAGTTAGAATAGCATCTCATAATGTTGGTTGGCATTTCATGCCACTTAATGAGTGACTGAGACTTTTACCCAGCTTTAATGAACTTATTAATTATTCACACATATTCAAACTCTAATTAAGTCTATGCTAATTGGGTGCCCCAACTGTCATTTAATCTATGGAAATGTTATTTATTATGGTTCACTTCTCTTTGAATCTATTATTTCTATAAGATATCTTTCTGCTGCTTTTACAAACTATTTGGTAGGAAGCATTAAATAACAAAAAAAAAATTCCAAATGAAATTTTGTACTTATTATCCATTAAATCAATATACCTAATCAGATTAATGTTCATTTCCTTATTGTTCCTTCATTCTTTAAAAAAAAATGTCCAAAGCAAACCTGTTGAAAGGACAAAAATTATTCAAATAGATAATGTCATGTGTTAGATATTTACTAAAATTGCTTTAAATGAGTGTATTATGAAAACAGCAGTTTTAATGAGGAAAATGCAGTGCCATGATTTCATGCCTCAAGTGTGTGTAGTAGTGATAAAACCCCATTCAATTCTGAAGACATGATTACTAAATGGTTTCATAGTCAGAGGCTAAACCTACTGTTCAATTGATTCTCTGCCAATAATACTTTTCTACCCAATCCAGTTTATTTTTTCCAATAATTAATCACCTCCTCCTCTCCCCAAATATCTAGATCCTTAAATTTATTGTGTGTTTTTGTTTGGTAAGGATGGATCTTGCTCAAACAAAATATCATTTGATTCTTCCTGGCAGAAATACACCCACACTTCTCTTAGGCTATGCCTATATATCAATATAGTAGCTCAAAACAAAACAAACAAAAAGTTGGGGAGGGAAGAACCAAAAACAAACTAGTTCATTTCTGGATCTTACAGTACCAAGAAACCCAATATTTGATACTTAATTGGATAATATTTAACTCAATTCAATAGTTTTTCAAGGTTATGGATAAGGTACCAAAATATTTAACTTTAAAGTGGACGAAAGTTGAGTGATAGCATTTTGTTGCATTGTGCCCATGGTCTTAGTTGAATCTCTCCATACTGAGAAAGAAGGGAGGAATGGATTCTTTTGACTGAAATTTATAAACAACACTGGGCAATTTGAGTGGTAACATTTTTTCCTGGAATATTTTTATCCCTTATATGTCCTCATAGATGTGGAGTATTCTACTACATCAGTTTTTCATCTCTCAACTATGATAACTAAATAGAATATGTTCTTGTTTAACTGATTTCTCTGACAAGAATATCAGGGCTTTAAGCATTCATTGTTCACAACCACTGTTCCTTAATCTTGGAGATTTGTGATGGTAGAATGGAGAAGAGAAACTGTTTTTTGGACTGATTACAAGTCTACAGGAATGGTTTAGAGGGGAAGAGAGAAAATTTCAATTAGAAGTAAAATGTGCAGTGACTTTTCACAGCATTTTATTTGTATAAAATAAAGTAAATCATTTGGATTAAATTCTAGAATAATGGTATGCTTTCATTTAAATATAACTCAAACATCCCCATGTTGAATAACAGTCATAATTAATTACTAAATAACACATATGGATATTTCTCCTATATCTGCTGTAATAACTTGAAGATGGTTATTAGATTGGAAAATAAATAATGTAATTATTTATCAAATTAAAGCAGAAGGAAATTCCTTGTGAAGAAAGATGATGGAGGGGAGATAACTACATGCATTGTATGCATATACTGATGCAAAATTAGAAAGAAAATCTAGTACAATTCCTTCATTTTCCAGATAAGAAAACTGAGGCACATAGAATTGACTTTGCTACAGTTGAAGAGTTAGTGCTATTGGTGACAGACATAGGAGAATATCTCAAATGTCTGTATTTTTATGTCACTGGTCTTTAAACTATTTCCAACCTTCTAAGACTCTTTACTCAACACTGTGAAAAGAAGATCCATGCTCTTTTGACTCCCAAGCCCATCTTCTCTCATCCTGATTGGTTAACCCCAAGTAAAATTCTCTAAATTATAGTGTAGTGGCTGACTTTATCCTTGGTCCTTAAGTTGTGTTCTTTGTGAATTAGTACTGAGCCCAGGGGCCCTCAACAAGAATGGTATGACTCTAATTCTTATACAAGCCTCTGTACTGTTTTCAGTAAGAAAATGTCTATCAGATAAAAGATGTCCTTCACTCTATGATGTTTGATGACCCATTCTTATTTTATTTTATTTTATTTTTAAGCAATCAGGGTTAAGTGACTTGCCCAGGGTCACACAGCTAGTGAGCGTCAAGTGTTTGGTCTGAGGCCAAATTTGAACTCAGGTCCTCCTGACTTCAGGGCCAGTGCTCTATCTACTGTGCCACCTAGCTGCCCCCCCCATCCTTACATGTCATTGACTGAATCAGTGTTACTTACTCTACCTAGGACCAGTCAATATTAGATACCTCCTGTTACTCTCAGATACTTAGTCCATTCACATCACTACTATCTGTGCTCTTTGCTTATCTCGTGTTCATCTTTCTTCTGAGATGAGCAGTTCACTAAAGCAAGACATACTTTTTTTTGTCACCTCTAAAAAAGGCTGTAGGGAACCTCTTCTTCACTCATTGGGTTGATTATTAGGTAATGCGTCAAGAGGTATAACTTATTAGACTAGAGTTGGGAAGAGAATTATTCCTTTCTCCAGCCAGAGCAACGAATTCTTGTGAAGGGAATTATATAAATGGGCAAAATAGGAGAGTGCGTGTCAATCAAATAAGAAAATCGATGCAATATATTTTTAATCTTGAGTATGGCCTCACCTATTAATGTTTCAGAAATATACTATTTGCCTTTTCATCAAAAAAGACATACTTTTTTTTAAAGCATTGCATTCAAGAGGAGCCAAAGACAGAATAAATGATCTACAAAGAACACAAAGAATAGAAAACTATACCACACATAAGGGGAATATCTTGAGGACTCCAATAAGAGGATTTATAAGTGCTTTTATTGCTTTATTATGTGTTCTCCAAGTTTGAGCTTGTCTTCTATTTTCTATATGGAAGTGTGTCATAGATCTTCAGGGTTGGGGCTCTTTTATGCCAGCTGTTCTTACTCTACCATCTTATATTTCTTTCTACAATCCCTATTTCTTTCAAAAAACTAAAGCTGACTCACTAATTGATATCACTGACTGCAATCACGTAGAAGCATAACAGTGGAGGCTTGAACTGTAGCATTAGAAAAAACAACCCTTCAACCCTTTAAGATTAATTATAGAACCATAAGGGGATGCATCAGTTTTTCTCTGGGCATTTTACCTTCTTGAAAGTGGGAATTGGGAGAATTAGTCCAGAAAATGTGTGTGCTACACTATTCTGATTTCATTTACCATCTTTCAATTTGTAACTTTAAATATATATGCCCAATTGGTTTCCCTTCAAGGAAAAACAAATAAATAAACAGATAAAAGAAAAACAGGAAATGTTTTTGAGTGACAATTGTTTTCCACATTGGGAAATTAATGTTGGTAACCTATACCAGTTTTTGGGTAATGGTATTTCCAGGATGGTATAGCTAAGAGAGAACCAGACTTTATGTCAGGATGACCTGGTATAACCCTATTTCACAATATCTGAGGAAAACCTAAAACATCATTTATTTCATCTCCTGAATTTTACAATGAAATTAGGCCTGAAAGTAAAATACCTTGTGTTAATATTTTTGGCCAATCCTATATTCAAATCCCATCCTTTATTTTTAAGCCTGGGTCTGTTCCCACTATACTAGGCAGCCTCCTAGCTTTCTTTGCTGAAAAATAATGCATAA